GAAAACTCCTCAAGTGCTGTCCCATTTCTGCACATCTTAGCCTCTAGTCTCTGTCAGGTTCCGTTCTTTCCTTTTCTGCCCATCAACTGTGGAAATCCAATGCAAGCTCATAGATCCCAAGATCACTTTCCTCCCCAATGACCAGTTCAGGGTTTGTGACTGATGCTGTGACTCTCAGAGCTTACACTGCCTCGGGGGAGAGCAGCCGTCTGTAGCAAGGCCTACATCCTCAGGACTGCAAACAGAAATAACCAGCAAGAAGAAACTGGCATGGGAAAGGCCATATTAAAGAACCAGTAAAAACTCGCCAAGCAAAGAGAGCTTCCGTCCATGCAGATGCCTCACAGCATAAAGCCCCCTGTAATGGATGACTCACCAGGACTTCGGCAGCTAATGAAGATGTCCTCTGAGAAATCCTCTAACTCTGGTAATTTTCTCTGAAGAATTAATTCGGTATAAGAAAACAGCCCATTTCTAATCATGAGCCCTCCCTTCCCTCTCTGGCTCGCCACCAATGTCAGCAGCTCTCCTCATTCTCAACAAGCTGAACACAGCATCTTTTCCTCCAATTTTACAGCCCTTTTAATATAATTAATGTTCTCTCACATAGCCTTGAATGGCACTTGAGATTATTTGTTTGTTTTAACTCTTTCCCACATCCTGGTTATAAAATCAAGTCAGTAAGGAAAGTTACTAGAACAAAGTAGAGACTGGAGTCATAGTTTAGTCAGGAAAGCACGAAGACCCAACTTAACCTCCAGTACCCACATAAGAAGCCAAGTATAACAGCATGTACTTGTACTTCCAGGACTGGGGAGCCAAAGGCAAGCGTACCCCTGGGTTTCAGTGGTCAGCCTGTTGTGCCAGATTGACAAACTCCACGTTCAGTGAGAGACCCTGCCTCAAAAAACAAGATGAAAAAACAACTAAGAAAGACACTTCAATGTCAACCTTTGGCCATGTACAGACACACATGAAAAAAAAATACATTAAAGATTTCCAGACTAACAAAGAAATCAATAAATGGTACAATACCATCTATGGATATGGCCCTAGACAGTACAGAGGAGCAAAACCTGGATGTTCCTCATCTCTATACTATCTGACAATATCACTAGAAGTGTAATCAAACTAACAATAATATAAGGGGAAACACACGAGATTATATTCAAAACAAACATATCTGTAATGATTTGAATAAGAAATGTCCCCATATAGGCTCATGTATTTGAACACTTGGTCTCTGGCTGGTAGTGATGTTTGGAGAGGTTGTGGAACTTTTAGGAGGTGTGGCCTTGCTGGACAAAGGAGTCCCAGGGACTGGCTTGGAGAGTTAGTTAGAGCCACACTCCCACTTCGAGCCTGCTTTCTCTGCCTGAGTTTGTGGTTGAGGATGTGCTGGCTCAGCTTCTTGCTCTGGCTGCTGTATCTCCCCTGCCATGACAATGGACTCTCCCTCTTGAACCAGAGGCCCAAATAAACTTTTACAGAAAGTTTTAAGTCATGGCATTCTATCCTAGCAACAGGAAGGTAATAAACACAGCACCATCAGTTGTGGCTGGAAAAGGAGTGGGGGAGAGAGAGGGAAGAAATTACACTTAAGCTGCAAACATAAAGCAGCTGGCTCTTCCAAGACTGCACATTCCCTCAGAAGAGAAACCAGAAGTTCACCCGAAAATCTTTCTTTCTTGATGTACAGCTCTGTAAGAACTGAACAAGACTTTAAAGGAAAAAATAAAAATGATCTCTGCTTCAAAACTAAGAACTTCCTCACTGTTGGTTCTCACCCTGAACTAACAGCTAACTTCACCAAATGTCCTCCTTTTCTTGTGACTGTGTGACAGTGACATTTCCGGGCAGTTCTAAGTCCTTGGTTCTTTGGACATCTCACCATGTACCCACTGAGAATGAGTGAATGTTTACTTGAATCATATGCTGTTGTCAGCTTTGAGACGTTCCACATGACGTTCAAGAATCGTACAAGCTGCCAGACTGCATTTACATCTACATTAATAATTAGTAATGGGAAGGGTTCTAGGGCCAGGCCAACACAAATCTTAACCCTCCTCATCTGAGAGTGGTCTGTTCTCTACACTCATGAACCAAAGATGCACACAGCAATGTTCGTAGCAGTGCCATCCTGGCTCGCCTCGAATGAAAGCAGGCCAACTCTCAACAGCTACTGGGCTTGGTGGTGCACACCCATAATCCCAGTAGTATGAAGGCAGGAGGATCATGAGGTCAAAGCAAACCTGGACTACAAAGCTAGACATTTTTTTTTTAAATCTAAAGAATAAATACATTTAGGCATAGTCCTATGGTGGGATTCGACCGCAAACAAGGCCAATTCGACAAGCATCATGTTGAAATGCTGGTTGCCAGAAACACAACAGAAAACCTACTGTAGGATTTAAAAAAAAAAAAAAGCAAAACTAATGCGTGGCATCAGAAATCAGAATATTAGTTATCCTGGGGAGTCGGGGCCTGAAGATGACCTGGAGCAATCTCTAAGATCGAAGAAATACCCACTTCTTAGTCTGAAAAGTAGTTGGTTATAGGGAGCCTTTACTTTGAAAAGCCACCAGGCTAACTGATAGCACGTTTCTATCTCATGCTTATTTCAGTAAATTATTGTAAAACAAAACAACAACAAAAAAGAAAACAAAAAAACAAACTAACAAAAAAACCTTCATTAGGGCCGGGAGTGGTGGTGCATGCCTTTAATCTCAGAACTCTGGAGGCAGAGGCAGGCTGATCTCTGTGAGTTTGAGGCCAGCCTGGTCTACAAAGTGAGTCCAAGACAGTCAGGGCTCTATTACACAGAACAACCTTGTCCCAGAAAACAAAACAAAACAACAACAAAATCAATATATTAAAGAAGTACAGTAAGATGAGCAAAAACCACTTTACATTATTCACATCCATAACTTTTGTTAAATTTTTTTTTGCGTCTGCTTGTTTTAGTTTAGCATTACTTGTGTACATTTTGATGGCAAATAAGCATATACTCATAGTAAGAGTGCTAAAATTCAGGATCTCTGCTTTACACAAGAGGATTTATTACTCTACTTCATTGGTCCTTATAGAAAATGAGGAAGGTGAGGGAGGAGAAAGAGCAGAGGATGAAGGGCCAAAACAGCAGCGGGTATGAGAAAAACTTTGGGCCCTTTGGAGCATACAGAGAGGAAAGACAAAGCCAAAACACAAGGTCACCAGAACATTTTCAGGCACTGAACAATTGTTACTTTAAAATTTGTTATAAGCCAAGTGGAAGGGACTAGCAACTGCCACTCTGCTTGAACCACGCCTCACTCAGGAAATAGCAGATAAGACTATGATGGAACCTCGGGCTAGGAACTGTAACCCTAGCTCCAGGCTGCCATGGACACATCACTTAGCTCATATATTCCATTAAGTGTAGAATTCCCTCATCAATAATTGTAGCACACATCTTTTCTGCAAGTTAACACTAAGGGGAAAAAAATCCCTCTTTTGGACTATAGTTCAGGTATCAGAATAAGTGGCTGCCCATCCACACAGCATTCAGAGGTCTGTGTTTTCCTATAACTGTGAAGAACAGGAGGAAGGAGATTATGCTCTGCTAGAAGGAAAAGGAAAACAAAAACAAAAACAAAAGCTCCTTCTTAAGAAAGATACAAGATGAAGCCCCCAGGCCAGGGTTTGGCCTCTAATCCTCGATGGTGGAGAATACCCACCTACCAACACAACTAGCACCTGCTGGTCCAAGGACTCTTTGCAGTGACTGCAGCACGCAACCTTGCCAAAGATGCTGGGGACAGACTGGGTGGAGAAACGCAGGGCTTGCGCTTGAAAAAGGGTAGGTGTTCTCTAGGCTTTCTCAGAAAACTGTCACCTGTCAATCACTTGACCTAAATACAACAGTCACTGGGGGAATGGGGGGGGGGGGGTAGTCCGAGCATGCTCAGTGATGGAGATGACATCACTTAATCAATGCTGGAGATGGGAAGGCTGCATCAGCAGCCTGGAGCGGGATGCCAGGAACGTGTCAGTGGGGACCTAGAGGCTCCCGGTGTTAACTCAGTCCCTCTCCACGAGGCGTGAATACAAAGAGGGTACCATGGGCCAGACACTCTGGGGAGAGCAGACCAAGAAAGAGGGTGGAGACAAGACTAGTTTATATCATTTGGTATATGCTCCTTTAAGAACTATAAACCATTAGTATTTCCTCCCCTTTCCAGCAGCCAGACTGCAAAGAGGGAGCTAAGTGGGGGGGCAAGCAATGTGTGGGGGGGGGGATTAAAAGGGAGACCTTGGTTTCGCTTAAGTAACTTCTGCTCTTGACCCTGAGGACTACATGGAGACCCCCTTTCTCAGAAGATTGGACAGTCTCCTCCATCTAGAGTGAAGCATGTCAGACAATCTGAAGAGAGAGAGAGAGAGGATGCGCGGGGGTGGGGGGAGGGATCTTCTAGCCGAGAAAGCACAAATCCAGGACAATTGGGGTGATGGGAAGCAAGAGAACATGAGAGACTTCCCAGGGACACCAAGAGCACCCCTCACCTTCCACACGGGGGGCAAGGTGAAACCGCCTGCGCAAGGCCCAGGTGGGGAAGATTTTGTTTTTCTTGGACCTTTCCTCCCCTACCTTTTTGGCTAAGGTCTAGCGGCAAATCGAACCCTGGAGGTTCGTGGAGGCATCTGTGGGTTGCAGAGCTTGTACTTTGGAGCAGGGCCGGGACATCCGTACTAGCTGGCAAACCCGAGACACTGCCCACGCGGCGGCAAGCGTGGGAACAATGGGCCCACCCGAGCCCCCCACCCGCGAACAATGGCGGACCTCACACTCCCCCGCCACCCCGGGCGACCACGGCCGGAGGGAGTCCCCGGCCAAGGGCGCTCCTACGGTCCACCCGCGAGCCCAGCCCCGCAGGGATGTCCGAGGGAGGGGGTGCCCGGGAGGTCTCCGCTCGGGCTGTGGTGCAAAGCCGGAGGAGGGGCGAGACACCGAGGCCACTTACCCCGATCACCACCGTCTCGTCGCCTTTGAATTTGGGGATGAATTTGTCCCCGCGGAGGATCTCCGCTTCGTTGAGGGGCCGGAACCGGCACATCACTTTGATGCTGCATTCGGCTGGATCCGCCATCTCGGGCCGCGGCAGGAGGGGACGCGGGGATGGGTGGGGGGCCGGGCTGGGCAGCGCCACCGAGGAGGCCGCGAACCAACCGCTGCCCGCAGCTAGGCCGCCTCCCGCAGCCTCCCGCAGCTCCTCAGCAGGTCATCGCGACCCTGCCCCGGACGGCCCCGCGGCTCCGCCACCGGGAAGGAGAGCCTCCTGTCGGCTGGGCCGCCCCGCTGATGACCTCCAGCCCCCGGCCTGCGCCCCGGGCCCACCTGCCCGCGGCCACGAGGCGGGCGGACCAGGCGATGCTCAGGGAGCAATGCCCGTCCGGCTCAGACCTCCCGGGCTCCGGCGCGCTCAGCCATCCTGCATCAGTACCAGAGCGCTCCACCACCCCCAGGCCCGCCCCTCTGCCCCGCCTCGGCACGGTGACGTCACCCAGAGACCTGCCTCACCCTGGGTGTGAGCGCAGCGCATCCCGGGACTTGTAGTCAGCCACTCTACCTACAGGTGAGAGGGCAAGGATGCTTGGATTCTCGTGAGAACCCCTAGGGGCTCCAGGACTGGTGTGGCTTCACAAGCAAAGGACTTAATGGAAGTTATAGTTAATATTCCCAGTTAAACTCTATAAAGAAAAAAACAGGTCACATGTTTTCCTGAAAGAAAAATACGTATCAACACAGTGTACAACTAAACAGCTGTAGAGCGTTTCCCTGTGTTGTAGAGTGTTTGCTAGAGCTCTAAGGAAGGCAGGAAGAAAATGAGATTTGCATGAAGCCAGTTATACGCGAAATTATCTGAACATAGGTAGTTCGTAACAGTTCATATCAGATGAAAGTCAAGGGTTTTATTACTGCCAAACTAAGTCAGGAAACAAATTCACACACACACACACACACACACACACACACACACACACACACACAC